TGTGACCATTTTTATAGCTCATGTTACATTTCATGAGATCACTCCTGTGAAAATAGTCAATGCACAAAAATAAATCCCTTTTATTTTTAGTGTTTTATAACTGACAAAGCACTTTCACAAAAATAACGTTGTTTAATCCTGATATCAGCACTGTGGGATAGATTTCTTTCCTTGATAGAGTTTAATAGTTTTGTTGATGTAATGAGCAAAATGAACCTCCATGAAAAGTGTGATGCAAGAAGAGGGGGTAATCAAACAGATTGATAAATATGTTGGTAAACCTAAATAAATAATGCTTGTTAAAAATAACTTATTTATGGGATTTCAAGACAATGAGGAATAAAAATACTAAACAATGATAATGTGGGAGATGGAGTGATCAGTCGGTGCATTTCACTGTTCTTGTACTGTTTAGAAGTTTTCTAAAGATCTTAACGTTACGGTTTATTTATTTATTTATTTATTTAGAGAGAAAGAAAGAGAGAGAAAGAGAGTGAGAAAGAAGGAGGAAGCGGGGGAGGGGAAGTGAGAGAGAGAATACCAAGCAGGGTCAGCACTGTCATTGTGGAGCCCGGTGTGGGACTTGAACTCACAAACCATGAGATCATGACCTGAGCTGAAATCAAGAGTCAGACACTTAACAGACTGCACCACCCAGGCGCCCCCTAGAGATATTAACTTTAGATTTCAAAATAGGTATGTGAAAAATTTAAGAGTAACCACTTAAAGAACAGGAATAGAACGTACAGCTTCCAAGCCAGTAGAATAAGAACAAGAGCATAAAAAAAGCTCAATCAATCCAGAAACCAGGAAAGGAGAAAAAGAAGCAAAGAAAAAGCACAGAAAGAGGTACGAGAAATATATCCAAATTTTTCAGTAATCACAGTAATTGAAAATAGATTAAACTCATCTATTAAAAGGCAGATAGTATAAAATTATACTAAAAATCATCTATCAGCTATTTTCAGGAGACATACTTCATGCAAAATGACATTAAAGGTTGAAAAATGAGGGATAGAGAGATATACTTGGGGAAACACTAATCAAAAGAAAGCTAATGTATCAAAATATCAATAGCAGAAAAAGAATTTATGTCAGAAAGTACTATAAGGAAAGAGATTCACTAATAAGTATAAAATAGTATCTCATAATCATTTTATTTTTCATCTCATCAATTATGATACAAGCAAAATAAAACATTCTCCAGTAATAATTTACTGAGAAATAAGAACTTGACTGTTTTGCCTTTTCAGTTATTTTCATTTTAGAGATTAATCTTTTTTATTGCAAACCGTTTCCACCCCTTTCTTAGGATTGTTTTCTTAGTTTTATAGTTTCCTACTGTTACAAAGTTGAATTTTTTTGTAATGGAATCTGGATACTTTGTCCTATCAATTTCTTCAGCTTGCTATTTTTTCCTGAAGTATTTTTAAGTAAACTACAGGAAGCAACACACTCCATCATTAACTCCCATATGCACCTCAAAAAAGAATCGTTTTCTTACATAGCAAGATACTTTCACATTTAATATAATGAAATGAACAATAATAAAAACTTGGTATTTAATTTCCAGACTACATTCAAATTTCCCTATGTATTCCCCAAATTCTCTTCACATCTCTGTGTGCTAACCATAATCCAACCCAGGACCATGTGTTGCTTTTTTTTTTTTTTTTTTTTTTTTTTAAGTCTTTTACAATCTATAGCAGTCCTTTTTTTTTTTCTAATTTCTTTAATGTTTATTTATTTTAGAGTGAGACAGAGCATTAGTGGGGGAGGGGCAGAGAGAGAGAGAGAGAGAGAGAGAGAGAGAGAGAGAGAGAGAAGGTCTGAAGCAGGCTCAAGACCCCCAGCTGTCAGCACCAAGCCTGCTGTGGGGCTTGAACTCCCAAACCATGAGATCATGACCTGAGCCAAAGTCGGACGCTTAACCAACTGAGCCACCCAGGAGCCCCAGCAGTCCTTGTTTTAATGACATTGATCTGAGTTCCTGGGCCAGTGTCTTTTAACACACTGCATCTTCCATATTTCCCTTTTCCATCCTTGTGGTATTACTAGCTTAATCCTTAATTCCTGTGAATTGGAAGTTAAATCTAAAGATGTGATTAGATTAAAATTATTTTTTTTTTCAAGTAGGCTTCATGCCCAGCACAGAGACCAACGCGGGGCTTGAACTCAAGACCCTGAGATCAAGACCTGCCCTGAGATCAAGCCCTGAGATCCAGACCTGAGCTGAGATCAACAGTCAGATGCTCAACAGATTGAGCTATCCAGACGTCCCTCAAGTTAATTTTTTTAAACCAAACTGCATGTGAGATCATGTTGGGTACTTTGTGCTAAGATCAAAGTGGAATATAGTCAATAATGTATTAGGGTTGTATGGCAACAGATGGTAGCTACACTTGTGGTGAGCATAGCATATAGTATAAATTTGTTGAATCACTATGTTGTACACCTGAACTAATGTAACAGTGTATTAGCAATACTTCAAAAAAAAAAAAGATCACAGCAGGAGACATATAAAGTCTGGTAATTTTATTGCTGTTAATTCCTGGTAATTTCATTGCCAATCATTGCTAATTTCCTATGTTACTTTGAGTCATAAAATTTTCCTTTAAAAGTGGCGGTGGGGCACCTGGCTGACTCAGTCAGTGGAGCATGTGACCCTTGATCTTACTGAATTGTGAATTTGAACCCCATGTGTAGTGTAGAGATTGCTTAAAAATAAAAAATATTTAAAAAAAATAAAAAATAAATAAAAGTGGGGTAATTACATGTTGGGGCTTTACTTTTATTGCTGCCTGAAAAAAAAGATCTTCATCACCTGAAACTTACAGAGTGATAAGTAAAATAAGATACAGGTTTGCTTTTTTCTTCCTACTGATATTCAAATATCCAAGCAATACAAATGGTGGTAGTGGGGAAAAAAATGGTCTTGGTGGTTACACAACTATTTACTTTTTTCAAAAGTCATAGAACTGTACTCTGGAAAAGGAAGAATTTTAGTGTATGTAAATTTTGCTTAAATAAACTGACTGTAAAAATAGGCTCTAATCTTTATACATCTTTAAAATTACATTTAGTTACATAAAGCATTACTGTATAATTTCAATCTGTTGTGTTCCATTAGTAACTTAAAATATGTATTATGATAACTAAGGCTTTCATGTTTCTTAGTACAGCAAGAGACTTCTTACTGGATTTCCTCACTTGCATCCTTTCATGTGAATTTTTTAGTTTATGTATTAAGTTCTGTAATGATTGTCTTGGGATTGTGTGATTGGAGGGCATTTCCTACATTTTTCTAGTTCAATAATCCAAAGTTTTTGTTCTGTTAATGTCTTCCATTATTGTTTTGCAATTTCTGTAATTTTTCCTATAGGCCCTTGCATAGGATATCCCTCCATTAACTTGGGTTCCAAAAAGCAACATTCATTTTTGAGTAATTTCTTTCCCTTATTTTGAACTTTTTTTTATCATACAAAAATTAAAATTTAACATACAATAAGCTGTACATACTTTATACAACTTGATGACTTTGGAGATAAGTATACACCAGTGAAACCATCACCATAACCAATGCTAATGGTATATCCATTACCTCCAAAAGTTTCCTCCCACCCTCCTTATTGTTAACTTTTGTGTGATAAGAACACTTATCACAAGATCTACCCTCTCAGCAAATTTTATAGTGTTGTTATACAATATAGTATTGTTAACTAATGGCACTATGGTACAGCATCTTGCATAACTCAATCTCTTATAAAGGTGTCTATTTTTCTGTCCGTACTTACAGGAGTGGATTTCTTTCACATCATATTTGCATACCGTTTTGTAGTTTTGTAACATCCTTCGGCTTTTGGTCTAC